AAGATTTGAGCGAAGAGGGTTGCTCGACAGTTGTGCCCGGAGGAGGGGAGGTCGAGCGTATGGATTGGGAGGTGGTCGAGTCAGCGGGCTTGGAGCCTGACCCCTCAGCGACCTGTTTCTTCCTCAACGGAGCCTTCCTCCTGGGCACAGAGATAGCAGGCATCTCTGCAAAAAATTTACGCATAAGTTAAAGTCATAATAGATAAATACTATGTGGAACAAACGTAATGATGTGAATCAAACATGATAATGCTCGAGCTACTCCGATGACAACACATACCTGGGTCATTCTCTATCCGGATTAGATCGAGGGTTTTCTGACTGGGGAGAGGACATGATTTATGGGTAAGTAGTCCACAGAAATGCAAGAGGTCCTCATCCTCGAGCAAAGTCTTCAACGCGATGGGTTTGCTGTTCCATACTGCAATCCGTTGGTCGAAGAGGGCGTTGGTTGAAGGAATGAAATACTCGCGCAGTAGTTCTTTAAGCCAGAGAGATGGCGCCCAGGGGAAAGTAGGTTTAGGCTCGACAAAAGCGAACTTGTCTTTCCACCTGGGGACGTTTGAGGGAGTGTCTGAAATGAAATGGACATCGTTGCGGCTCTTGAGGTAGATCACCTGAGCATGTTTGGAGGGTGTATAGCAGTAATGGAAGAAATCTAGGTCGAGCCGGCCTAGACGGATATGGCAGAGGATGATGAAGACGGTGATAAAACGGATGGCGTTAGGAGGAAGTTGGTTCAAAGGCAGGTCGAACCACTTGCAAAGATCGACCAAATCTGGGCTTAAGGGAAAACGGACGCCGAGTTTAAATTGGATCTCAAAGAAGGTATAAAAGTTTTTGGGAGGGTTGTCATAGGTATCTCGGGGGCCGGGAGATACGAAAGCCCAGCTGGTAGGATAGCCAACCTCTTCGGCATCTAGCCAGCCAGCTATGAGGGAGCGAGAAGAGGAAGAAGTCTTCCTAGAAAAGGTAGGCACCTTGGTCGACTTACCCTTCTTAAGTTTAGGGGAAGAGGTCGCCTGAGCAAAAACAGAATGGCGAGAAAGGGGAATGTTATCTTCGTCTTTCTCAGCAGCAGCTTCAGCAGCACCAAGAGCCTCTTCAACGGCATCAGAGGCCCCAAATGCCGGTCGATGGCGATTGAGAGAGATATGGTCAAGGGCATCCTCGTCCGATTCATCAATCAGACGAGTAGGTTGGCGAGGAGGAGAAGGTGTGGTGTAATCGGAAGGGCGTAGAACACTGATGGAAGCAGGATTGTAGATTTCTTCGACGGAACGGGAAGGCGAGTGAGGAATAGGCCGACGAGTAGAGGGAAATGATGTGGCGATCTCGTCTTCGACAGAATGGTGGCTTGGTGAGTTAGAGTCAGCGGAATCTGAAAAGTAGAACGAAGAAGTGAGAGGAAGAGAAACGGAGTTAGGGTTTTAAAAGCGAAGAAGAAGTTTCCTTTTTGTCATAGACGAGATGAGAGGGATTTGGGAAAAAGAAGAGGTAGCAGGAAAAATCGAAAATTGACAAAATAAATGCACGCAAATATAAAATTAAAGCACAGAAGACTTACTCATGGTTGCAGTAGAGAAGTGGTTGCTGGAAATTGCTTGAGGAGACGCCGAGTGCAGGAAGGAGGAATTTGCAGAGAAAGAAATTAGAGAGTAAGGGAGTTCGAAATTGCAAAAGTGAGGAAAGCAGAAAAAGTGGCTAAGTACCGCATTTATACGAATACAAATGAATAAGGTGAAGAGTTAGGGGATATGACCGTTGGATAAAAGAAGATCCAACGGTGGAAAAAATTAAAGAGGCGCAGATAACGAAGAGACACAAATCGCGAGGAGGCGTGATGATTAAAAATACAGAGTTGAGGGGACACGTGGCATGCGGAGATTATGCTGATAATAAAAGGAAATAAGAAACAGTTATAGTGTGCATTAAAATGGACCACGTGGTCGAGGAAAGGCGGCAACATCAACAAAAATGATCGAGAGAAGAAGCCAGCTGCGAGTGGAAGATCGAGAGGACAGCTCGAATCCACTCTTAGATCGAGTCATTCAGACTCGACCAGAGTGGGGGGGACTAGATGATATGGGATATTATATAGCTGAGGAACAGACCGGTTTGCATCATCGACCGAGTAACCTCGAAGTGGAAAAAACCGGATTGGGGGAAGGATGATCGACCAAAAGGGAGGAGATCGAGCAGAATAGCAGTACCAGTCGAGGATCGACCAGAAGGGAGGAGATCGAGCAGAATAGTAGAACTGATCGAGGATCAACCAAAAGGGAGGAGATCGAGCACTCAACAGGTGAAGAGCAGTCTAGAGCGTGGCTTGAACGCGAGAAGGCGCGTGGATGACGTAAGAAGATCCCAACGGCCTGCGCAGAAGAATAATCTCCCTCAGCTCAGAGGGACACGTGGCGAGAATATATTGGTGCAGAGTGATAGTGGCGAAAACCACCCCTGACATCTCTGACACACACACACTATGTGTGTACGGACGGGCAGTACGGGCAGGACAGCTCACCAAAAGCCGGGCAGTTTCTAGGGCAGGTATCTCACTCCTATATATATGGGAGTGGCTCTTTTCTTGTAGCCGACGATTTATCCATTCTTTACTTTGGAAAATTGAACAAACACATACTGACTTAAGCATCGGAGGCTCTTCACCGGAAAACCCCTCCGGTGTGAGAGTTCTGTGCAGGAACGCGGCGTTCTACCGGCGAGGAAGAAAGAGGCAAGCTGATTTCAAGCCGGTCGGAGTGTTTTGCGTTACCATCACATAGGTTCTTATCATTTCAAGCATTTCAACAATAGGCTTTTTCCTAGCCCTACCAATGGTGCTATTGAAGGTCTCACATACATTATTTGGCACCATGTCACATTTAGGATGTACTGAGATTAAGGCCTTACAAAATCTGAAATTGTCTTGCCCAATGAACTTGTTGTGTGCTTCTGGACACTCAGCTTTCATCTCCTCAGTGATTCCTTATATGTAGTAAGGAATGTGCAATGGACAGTCCTCCAGAAGATGTTTTTCAGTGTTTGACCCTTGTGTTCTTTCTTCCAGTTCATATAAATTTGTCTAGCACAATTCCTATGCTCTGCCAATGGTGCCAAATACTTTACTGCATTAATCAGCCCCTACAATCCATTTGAACAAGGTAAAAGTTATATAACTTTCATATTTCAGGAATGAAAAATATAATTTATGTATTATATTAGGTAGTTTAGTTACCTTTTGCAGAGATAGTTTAGAGCACCCACAATGCTTTGGGTCTCCTTAAAAAAAATCAAGCGCCATGTAAGAAATAGACCTAGTTCATTAAAAAGTCTTTTCCAATGCAATTAAAAGTTGGCATGGTTTAGCTTATGTGGCAATAAAAAAAAGAGACCAAGCCTCTCCTTGGGTCTATTTTGGACCCAAGTACAAACCTACACAGTCAGCAATTATTTATATTTTCTTTTTTTTTTTAATAATTGATAAATCGGAAAGCGGGAAATATTGGCGGGGACAACCCAAAAACTCTCCGTATCCGCAGCTTCTTCTAGGCACATAGCACAATTGGAGACAGAGCTTTAGCAGATCGAATTTTACCAGGTATGATTTTTTTCCCCCAGATATCTATTATTAACAGTTGTTTTGATGTTTATTTTTATAAGACTTATAATTTTTTATTTTTGTGGGAATGATTTTGGGATGAACTGTTCTCAGAACTTTTGCGAACTCCCTTCCTTGTTGGCTTTGCGCGTGATGAATTTTTCTAGCATGAATTGTTCCAATTTTCCTTCTTCTTTTGAATTTGGCGTTGGATACCAAAAATGCTGATGGTTGAGTTTTCCCTAAAGCATCTCAAAGAATGTTTATTGCTGTTCAGAGTTGGATGAGGTTGTGGGTTGCCTTGATTATATATAGTCTAGATAAGTTTAATATGAAAGAAAGAGAAATTGATACATGCTTTGTTTCAAGCAAGAAAATTCATTTCTTTCCCCCAAATAATCCCACCAACCAACAGGTATGTGTTTAGGATTATTGCATTTGAGTTTTACCACAATTTCACTTTATTTTTGTTTTTGTTCACCTTTTGAGTCTAACAGTTTTCTTCTTTTTAATATTTCTGATATGGGGAATTTTTGTAGTTGTAACCAGTGTTGAGGCGGAAAGGCATCGACCAAACACTAGTTAAACAGTGTAAACATTAGCTTTTGGTCCAATTTTTTTTTAACCAGGCCGTGTGATGTCTGTAGCTTTAGAAATAATTATAAATTAATAATTTAGGTTAGTCATATATAAAGTAGATGTCAATCTGAATGTGAAGTCATATGTAAACTTTTAAGATTCATATTTATCATGTGTAGTATTGGAATCAATTGCAGAAAATAGTAGTAGTCTGATTTGATTCATTTGGATATCTTGTTTGATGTGGATTTATAAGTATATCAAGCCTTACATACTTCTTTTGTATTCCTGTTTAGTCATGGAAATTGATCAACTCAGAACTACTTTTGTACATATGTACCTGATTTTTGTTACAACGATTCTTACCAGAAAATTGTGTAAACTCGTAAGTTGGTATACCTGATGTATACATTTTAACATTTGGTCGATAGTTAGATTTTCATCAAGCTTCTTCATTTGATTGTAGGTCTTGGTTATTCTCTCTCTTTGTGTGTGTGTGTTTCAAATTAAGCTTTAATCAATCAATTCTTTCTTCGTTTTAATCTCAACATCAATTGTAAGTTATATAGGCATTAGATGTTTGTATTAAGTGATTAGTGTGGAAATTCATTTTTTAATGAAAATTGAAATGTGTTCTGTTTCCGAACTCAATTCCATTTGATTTGTGTATACATTAGAAAGCTCTGATCTGCATGGGATTTCTGAAATTTGTGACCCGTATTTTGCTTAGAAGCATGATTTTGTGTAAGCCCATGTTGTAAAATTACATGCTTAGGCTATTCGTTGATTAGTTGACTTGTATTTCTCTTACAGGAATTGGACGATGAATTCTCAAGATGAAAATATCGTGGTCATGTCTCAAATGGAAAATGCTACAGAAATGAATGAAGCATTGACTAAAACGAGTGAGATGGAAAATATATATGGTACGCCACAAGGTCCCGGGGGAATGGTTAATCCATTTGCTTATTTTACTCCAGGATTTCAAGCGAACTTTGCATACAATCCAACAGATGCATCGACATCTCCTCTTGTCAGCCAAAAAAATGGAGTCGGCTTATCATACAAGCAAGTGCTAAATGCTCCCATGTATTCTTTCCAGCCAACATATGTTTACCATGCACAAACAAATCCTGCGCAAAAAAAGGCTAAGACGAAAGATAACAACTTCATGATCTCTCAAACTCTTGAAAATGACAAATTCAATAAGACTTGGAGCAAAGATAAAGATGTTGCATTGACGAAGGCTTGACTTTATATTTCAGTTGATGCAGATGTTGGCAATAACCAAAAAACTGCTGTATTATGGAAACGTGTTTTCCCTGTTTGGAAAGAAAATATGGGAGCTGAGTGTAAAGATAACCGAACACCGATTAGCTTGCAGCAACGCTGGAAAAAGATAAATCAAGTTGTTACCAAGTTCAATTCATTCTACGAGAAGTTGGATAGACTTCCAAAAAGTGGCACTAACTTGGATGATATGGTTAGTTTCTATACTTCATGTCATTATATTAAAGTATACATTCTCCTTTTTAGTTTTACTTGTCTGTTTATCGAGGTGTTCATGTGTCTGGATTTCTAAGTTAGACATTGGTAAGTTTGCTAAATGAGGTATTCTCCTTTTTGCTGTATGTGTATTATTATGATGTGCAAAGAGAATGTTGAACACTGACTAGAAAAAGTGAATTGTTCTCAGTATTTTTTTATCTTTTGTTTTGGTTTTATTTACCTCGTAAAGTGAGTTGCTTTGAGACTCTTTTTTATTAGAATCCTTTTAAATTGAGCAGTGTTGATCTTGGATGGAAAATGGGGACAAAATGTGAATAAATCTGTAACTTTTGTAATAAAGCATGACAGAGCAATATGAAGAATTTGAGGTGTCCTTGATGTCTACTGATGTCTGAAGTAAACGTGAATATCATCTAAATGCTCAAGTTGATTGATATGAAGACTTTTTATTGGTATAATAAAATTTTCAGCAATTTTTTTTACTTATTTTCAAACTTATCACTTTAACAATGTATTTCAGAAACGAGAAGCGACTCGTATGTATAAAGAGTGCACCGGCAAAAAGGAATTTCAGTTTGAACATTGTTGGGAGACATTGAGAACAAATCCGAAGTGGTGCATGAAAAATATGACAAAAAAAAAAAAAAAAAAGAATTCAGTGAAGAAGTTGATCCCACAGATAAGGGCACATCATCAGTACATATTATCCCAGATGATAGTCACAATGTGGACTGTATTAGTGAGATTCAGAAGAGTAATGGCATTGTGCGTCCTCAAGGAAGAAAAGCATCTAAGGAGATTAAAAGGAAAACCAATGAGGATGCAGGTGTGATAGATGCTATAAAAGGTTTGCGGTCTACTTTTGAGAAAGAAATTGAGTTTAAAAAGGAGAATAGCAAAATAGAATTTGACTTTAAGCAGCAAATAGCAAATCAAGAGATGGAAGTTAAGGTTGCTGCTGAAAAAAGAAAATTAAAAGACCAAGAATTCCGCGAAGAAGCTCAAAAGAAAGAAGACCAGAGAAACGAAAAAGAATTGCACCAAAAAGAGCAGCTTGAGAAGAAAGCTCAAAAGAGAGAAGAACAATTTCGTATTATGAGCATAGATGTTTCCAAACTTCCAGAAACTGTACGAAAAAGGATGGAAGAATGTCAAATGCGGATACTAAATAAATGGGAAACCGAGGGTCTTTTTGGAGAAAATGTTGTAAGTTCCATTATTTAGTTTAATGTCATTAAGTTGTTTACTCATTATTTCACTTGTCTTTGGTTATGATTTTTACATTGGTGTTGGCATGTAGGAAAACAAACAATTGGAAGAATCTTTGGCCGGAGAATCGCGCAGTACTAGAGAGGTAGATTCAGACAAAGATTGAATGATTTTTATTTCCTTTTAGCTTAATGATCAGTGGACTTGTAAATTAAGCTACTTAGTGTGTTAGTACATTTTCCTATGATTTGTTTAATTATCTAATGGAGTATTTGAGTTTTATGCACATATAACTGCATGGTGGCACTCTATAAATTGAATTGTGTTTGTGCCAGTAAGTTTCTCAACATTAAACTGAATAAGCTCTTCATCAATGGTATGAACCAATTCACAGAAATGTGAAACTCAACTTATCAGCAATGCATAAATAATAACAGAAAAATTATCATCAAGCCCAAGAACTTGATGTTATGCAGTGTACAAGTTACCAGTGCATATAAACTACAGAGGTGTCTTGAATTTTGTTGGAATACATATAAAGATGAATGGATGATATCTAATATAAGTGCATATCATTTACTACAATACACTGTACCTTCTTTTCCTTTATTTATTAGTTTATCTATATTAATTGCCTGAGGAAAACATACACATTTCCCAAACTCACCAGGGGACTAAAGAGGCCATAATTGAAACACTACAACATTCTCCACCATAAGAAAGCACCATAGGAATATATCTTCTTGTTTTTTTTTCTTTATATTGCTATATCAGAATCAAAATTCACAAAAGCTTTGAGATTACCAACAATTACTCGGTAGATGTTGTGTACAACTACAAAAAACACCTACAAAAGTCTAGCTTAATTACAACAAATTCCAATCATTTCCCAAAAACTTACAAAAGACCTGAAAAAAATGTATTGCAATTTACAAGCTCCACTGTTGAGTGTGGAAATACCGAAAAGAGAATTGATGGAAGTTTTGTAATTTTTGTATATTACAATGCTCCATGTTATACAAAGAATTCGATTTAGTTGTTACAAAAAACACAAAAGCCTATGAACAACCAACTTATATATGCTTGTGATTCTCTAAACTTCCCCTGGCTATATAATCATAAACAAGAAGCCTGTGCTCATCCTCACAACAATATCCTCAAAACAATGATAAATTTATTGTCTTTATTTTAATAAGCTCTGTTTTGCAAAGAAATACAGATAAATGAAGTTGTGCTCTCTCGGGCCATGGTCGCCACCCGAATCAAGCAACTTGATGGCTACGGGCTAGGCCACCAGCCCGGGCCGGTACTTGTCATCTGCAAAGGCCTTGTAAACCGACCCGAACTCGCCCTCACCAAGAAAATTTCATGACGAGAAGTCGTTGGTCATGACCTTGAGCTGGATGAGCATGAAGACGTGAAGATAGGACGCCATCTTGGAATTGGACAAGTCGCTTGTGCAAAAAACCGAGTTCGGGTCAGTTATGTCTGAAGCGATATTCTTGAAGTCGATTTTTGCTTCAGGATTCGGCTTTTCAAGTTGGAACCAGGGCTTTCGGACTTCAGACAAGAGGATAAAAATGATCTCCATGTAAAGTTTTTAAGGGTCATTTGTGTTTTTTGTGTGTGTTTTTTTTTTATTACACACAGCTTATGAAGATGAGTTCATATGGGAAAATATGTTGTCCTACACATTTTGATAACAAAAGAATGAATAGTGTGACAATAAGAATGAAAATTTTGACAATCAATCCAATCAATAATATGAAGTGATTAAGATATCAAGAAGTCTATTAGCTACAGAACCAAAACCATCCATTTCAATAATTATAAAAAACTAATTACTAAGAACAACTGAATAATAATGGAAATAAGCAGATAACTATATCAAAAAAACCAAGCTAACTTAAACCAAAGCACCAGAGAAAACCATTTGAGAACTAGAAATAATAAATTTCCAGAAACGGTAGAATCACATTGTACAATTATACAAATAAAAATCAACTAACTGAGAAGTATCTTGAATAACTAATAGCTGATTAGACAGACCCTTTATCTCCATAGATATCCCACATGCGAGCAATAAGATCACGTTTCAGATCATTATGCAAGTGTCTGTCTTGAACTTTCTTCATTCGTCTAATCATTCTTGTTACAAGAAAATTATAATCATGCTCTTTATTTACTCATTCTGATACTTCATTCTCAGGATCTTGCCAATTTTCAGGATCTATTCCCTGACATTGTTCACTTTCAACTATCATGTTATGTAAAATGATGCACGTCATCATGATTTTTTTAAGATCTCTTGGGTTCCACATACGGGCAGGGCCTTTTATAATATGCCATCTACTTTGCAATACTCCAAATGCTCTCTCGACATCCTTCCGCACAGCCTCATGATGCTTTGCAAATATCTTCTCTTTCATGCAAGATGGTTGAGAAATTGATTGAATTAAAGTAGCATATGCTGGGTAAATTCCATCCGACAAATAATAACCCATATTATAGTTATGGCCATTGACAGTAAAGTCACACGGGGGCGCCACTTCATTAATGATATCATCAAATAATGGAGAGTGGTCTAAAACTGAAATATCATTGTGCGTTCCAGCCATCCCGAAAAATGCATGCCAAATCCATAAGTTCTTTGAAGCAACAATCTCCAAAATTAAAGTTGGAACCCTTTTAAATCCATTGGTATGAGTTCCATGCCAAGCTGTAGGACAGTTTTTCCAATGCCAATGCATGCAGTCCAAACTTCCAAGCATACCAGGAAATCCTCGAGCCTCGCCTTCTTTGAGCAATGAATGAATATCATTTTCATTTGGTTTTCTCAAATAGTACCCTCCAAAAAGCTCAATTATAGCATCACAAAAATGTTTTAGACTCTCAAAAGCAGTACTTTCTCCAATTTGAACATATTCATCAAGTGAATCAGCTGCACAGCCATATGCAAGCATACGCAAGGCCGCTGTCATTTTCTGTAGCGGACTAAGTCCATAATTACCAACGGCATCAATCTTTTGTGTGAAATAACTGTCAAAACTTTGAATCTCACCTAAAATACGTTCAAACAAGTTTCTATCCATTCGAAATCGGCGCCGAAATTGCTCTGGTGTATATTTTGATCTGTCGCCGCTAAAGTAATCACTAATTATTAAATCGTGCCGTTTTTTCCTTTCACGTCGAATGTAACGCCTATGAGCCTTTTGATTTTCGTGTCTGTCCTTTGCCAACAAAAGAGAAACATGAAGTGTGGTCTGAAACATACTCTGGTTCAGAGTTGTGTTTGAACAATCTTCGGGTTCATCCAACAATTTTCTTGTAACCGAAAACTCGTTGTCGCTTGAGGATAAACCATTAGAGTCTGATTCATAATTCAAGGTAGACATTACTTTTGTCTTCTATTGCCTAAAAAAAATAACAAATATGAAACTCGAGAACATAATTTAAACATAATTCAACAGAACTAAGAACCAATAACCAATTAAAAGAATCATACAATAAGTCAAATACAACAATCAGAGTTTCTTCACTCAAATATAGAACCAAGAACCAATAAGCAACAATAGAATAAGACAATAATTCAAAAACAAGAAAAGGAAATGCAAAGACTTCTTTTATTGGAGGGCTCGTTTCTGTTAATAAAATAGGAGTGGCGGTCATGAAAAAAGGACCCGTCAGTAAATCACAATAAGATATACAGACAAAGTGAACCATAACATATGATGACACAAATCATACCAATTGAAAGGATGTATACAGAAACAAGTTTTCGGTTTGGATTTATGAATTTATTGACTCCAAGAAAAGGATGTATACAGAAACAAGAAAACAACAACCTAGTAATCAACTGTACAAAATCAAAAAAGAATGTATGAATTTACCAACTCCAATCTGCCTTTTATTGCCGTAGAACGTTGAATGAACTCGGTTGATTGAAGAAGAAAAAAGAAACGGTAGCGCAACAACGAAGAAGGTAGTTGAACAGATTCTTTTGTTTACGCGTGTTTTTATTGGTTAATATAAATTTTAGACCTAGCATTTTATTTTTGCATTGGAGAATTTTTGGAATTTTTTACTTGGGTTTGTCCATGTCTTTTGGACTCAAGTCCAATTTATATGCAACATATACAAAATTAGACTCAAAGCATTGTGGGTGCTCTTAGTTACCTTTTGCTGGTCACTAATAAAGGTCCAACCCAGTCCATCCCTGATTCCAAACTCTTCAAACAAAATATTCAAGAACCAATTCCAATTTGCCTCATTTTCAGAATCAACCACTGCCCATGCAATGGGATAAATATGGTTGTTTGCATCCTTCCCCACAGCAGTCAACAAACACCCTCCAATCACAGTCTTCAAGAAAGCTCCATCTAAACCAACTATTGGTCTGAACCTACTTAAAAACCCCTTTTTTAATGCACTAAATCCCACAAAAAAGCCCTTGAACACAGTACCTTCATCAATTAGAAATTCAAACCGACCCTCTCTGTCAACTCTCAGTAGCTCAGCAAGATAACTCCTCAGACATGAGTAATGCTCCTCTTTTGTGCCTCTCAACATTTGTAGTGCTTTGTACTTGCCTCTGTACAGCTTTCACTTAGATGGTTGCACAACATACTTCTCAAGTATCATCTCTTTAAGGTCTCCAATCTTCATTTTTGGTTTTCTCCTGAATGCCTGAAGTTATTCCTTTGCAATCCATTTTGCAGATGTTTGTCTGGTTCTCATGTCCCTAGAGCACTTGTGATCAGAAATCAATGTTTTGATGGCTACTCTCCCTTCTGCCTTTACAGTGCTAGCATACAACTTCCAAGGACATGACTCTATACACTTTGCCTCAATCTGATTAGGAGTTTGCCTCCATATCTGAATATTGTGACCATTATATATGGAATACTCTTGAATTGCATGCTTAATTTGAGTGATTGACTCAAACCGCATACCAAGTTCAAACTTGAATTGTTTATGGTCAACCTTGGCATCATACATTATCATATTTGTCTTCTTCTTCCTATGACTGACATCATCATCTCCACTAAACCCTCATGAGCTTTAAGAATCAGAACAAACCTCTTCTGCTGAGTCTGCATAATCAGAATGATCTTCCCTTAGAGACAGGAAGTCACTTTCATTTGTGGAACCCCACCCCTTTTCAAAAGATAATGTGAAATTTTCAGTTTCTTCATCTGCAACTTTTTTGGATTCAACTCTTTTTCTCCTTGCTTCAAAGTATTCTTCATTAATTCACTAGAATTAAGTCCATCTGATTCTGAACTTTCTTCTTCTGGAACATACTCCTCATTTGTGTTGTCCTCATGAAAATTATCAATAAGCTGGTCCAATTCTTCTCCACTAAGTTGACCAAGTGCATCTAATTTACAACTTTCTATTTCATCTAAACTGAGACCATCTGATTCAGAACTTTCTTCTACAATATACTCCTCATCTGTGCTATCCTCACAAACATTATCATCAGCTGCTTGTTGCACATCTGCTATGCCTTTTTACTTATCATCACCTCTACTTTAATTTGTGGAACCAGAATCAACATATACTTGAACATAATGCCAGCCAGGTTCCATCTTAGAAAGCATTTCCATGACACCCTCATCATTGTGCATGTGAACATACTTTCTACTGTTGTAAGCCCTATAATACAGTTTCTCTCCTTTAGTGTACCCTAATTTTTGAACTTCTTCTAATAAATCAAAATAACCAAATCTATCTTTGTCAAATCCATATCTTGAAGTGACCTCTTCTTCATAATACTCATAATCATTTCTAACCTTTACCAACTGCCCACAGTGGTTTATAAAAAGCATCAAGTCACAACTGCATATATAACAATATAATTACAAAATTAGGTTAATGCAAAACAGGTATAAGTACATATAAACATAAGTAAACCATTATATAATCCTAATTATGAGCTACTTAACAAAACCCTATACCCTAAACAATGAATAATTATAAATCACTGCATATATAACAATGTAATTAGATAACTAGGTTAATGCAAATATAAACATAGTTAAATAAATATATAATCCTAATTATGGGGTAATTAACAAAACCCTAACCCTAACCCTAAACCCAAAAAAACCCCCTCATTTTCCAAAACAACTAACCTAATTTATCGACAATAGAAGAAAAAAAATAGTTCACGATCCTACATGTTCGCCATTTTTGCAGCATCAAGTCGTCGGGGTACCACAACGAGAATAAGATAATGAGGTTGCCGGAAATTAGAAGACAAGAAAAATATGATGAAATTTTTATTGAGAGCGCAGAGAGAATCGAGGAACACGAGGAACGCGAAAGGATTTAGGGTTCTTCTGAAATGAATCAGATTTCGAACTTAAAATGTAATTGACCAAGAAACGACGTCGTTTCTGGGTGAGGTGGAAAAAAAATGGATGGTAAATACAACTTAGCAATTGAGGTGTCTCTTTGTTCGCCACGTCAGATTTTTTTGAACAGCTGATGAGGTCCGTGTATCGTTTTGCAAGAAATTGAAGGCCGTAATAGTTTGTGCAAAAGTCGAAAGGTCGTGATTAATTTGCAATCGCGATAAAGGTGGTGATATTATATGCAATTTTGCCTTGTTTCTTCTTCATTTATTTTTTCTTTTTGCTAACCCAGGGGAAAATTTACCAGCCTCGCTTTTTCCTCTTAATTAGATACTTTTTTAATTCCTCACGTAGAGTTTTCGTCCTCTTTCCACTCAATTCACACAAACCGTCCACATGCTCGCCGCCGATAATTGTTATCTCTATAACGGCAGTTCCCTATCTGACGAATCCCCTTCTCCGTACCTCGATTAATTTTCTTTATAGGCTTCGACCTCCACCATGAGAACCCTAATAAATTAGATAAAATTTTGGGGCTAAAGTTGGTCTTCAATTGATCTTTCGTCGCCGCCGTTTGTTGTTCTGTTCTCCGATCGGCCGCCACCGACTGCAGCTCCTCCCAGCAGAAGTCGGCCCTCAGGCCTGCCTCTCGACCCGGAAACTCAGCAACCATCGAGCTTTGCCTCCCCAGGTTAGTCGCCTTACTCCTCTCATCTCCGACCAATCCCCTTCCCCTCCTTTCATTCATATATGAACCATAAATTACATAAAATATTTGAGGACAGAGAAAATTTCATCTTCAATTTGCAGGGTGCTTTTGGAGAGATAAAAGAAGGCTTCAAGTAGGTGATTTTGGCGCGGTAGAGTTTCCGATTGCAAAGACTAATGGCATGCAGGTTTCGTTTTNTTTATGTTATCAAAAAAATAATTAGGCTATGTCTCTATCATCATATGATTATTGCTCCATATAAGCCGTTTTTCTCAGAATAGATGGTTGTTTTTCTTTTCGATGGTGTTTCTTGCACAATATAAAAGGGTTAGTGATATAGGTAAGCGTACGAGTGAGAAGGATATGAATGAGATCTCAATCTCAAACACGATAAAAACCAAAAAAATCTTATTTCATTTCCAAATCAACCACCTAAAACAAGGAGTTCTTTAAATAAGACTTCTTAACCCTATTTCTAACTTGTCCAACAAGACAAGATCTCTTTTAATAATATTTAATTCATAACTTATTCTCCAACATATCTATAATAATAATAATAATAATAATAATAATAATAATAATAATAATAATAATAATAATAATCTACACCAGTTAGTTCATGGACCTTAATAATTTGGGCTTCAGATATTTGTTGGGGCCTGTAAAAAATGTCTAACTTTATAGGATTTGGATATTTTAGCTTCATACTTGCCTTTTTTATGTGAAAGGATGATTATTGTAGTCCAATATGGAGTGAACCTGGCAGGATCAGGATGAGTGTAGATATTGTGAAACATTTAGTAAAACTAAATTAATTGTTGGACTTTTTAAAAAAATAGAATACAATATTTAGTAGTGTGAAAATTATAGCTTTTGGGTCTGTTTGTATTATTAAACATCTTTTTCAATTGTGCTGAGAGGTTGTACGTATCATAATATGTAGTAGTATGTTCTTTCTTCTTGGTCTGGTCATGGTACCAAATTCTTGAAATGGTATATTCAGTTCTGGGAGAAGAACATAAAGAAGGTCGATTTCGAGCGTCTCGCTGGCGACACATAGAAGAAAAGGGAATCAAGTTCCGATACTAGACGGGCTCGAACGAACCCGAGTTGCAAACTCGTGCATTTGAAGCAAGCAGTTCCCAGGTTGTCGCGTCAGCCCGCCGCGCCGCGAAGCCTGTCACGGGCGAACAAAGCTCCCAGACCTTCCCAGCACTGCGCCGTGACTTCCCCCGAGCCGCGACACACCAGCACTCCACGCCGTGCCACATTGCCGTGCCGTACCCCAGCTTCTCTCCACGCCGCGGAGCCAGCTCGCGGCATCCTTCACGCGCGGACAGAGATGCAGACCAAGCCAGACCTCGCGCCGCGACAACACTCCTATGCCGTGCCACAAGGAGTCTTCGCGCTGTGATGATGTGACACGCCTCGCCATAAGGAGTCTTCGCGCCGCGCCGCCTCTATTCTACGCCGTGTGACCCTACTTTTATATAAATGAGATCGGGAACGCAACCAGGGATCATCTCTCATTTGACGAACACATAAAACCCTACCCGTCTCTTTTTCTCTCGTTCTTTTCACTTTTCTTCATCTTTTTCAACGTAGAACACGGATTTAAACGTGGATTTCAGTATTGCTTCTGGATTCAAGCTTGTTTATCAGATTCAACCTTGGGATTTATCAATCGTATGATTTCTCTTTTAACTTTATCGTTAAATATGAACTCTTTGATTGAGATTATTGTTGATGTTGAATTGATCATGAGTAGCTAAATCCTTATTCTAGGGATAGGGGTTTTAATGTTTTGGGTTCGTTTGTGATTGTTGGAATTTGTTGATCGTTTTATTTGTACGAGTTGTTCTTCAAAAGGGTTTTTCAAATATTAGGCTTGAATATTGAGAATTGTTGAAGGGTGACACTTCAATTTCCAATTTACGATTGAATTCGATTTATTCTCGCATAATGTTGGTTATTCTTAACGATTAGTCGGTTAACAGCCCTCTAGTCTAATTTAATCGACTCTTAGAACCGAAAGGGGAGGAGTCAGTCGAAATAGACTCGTATAAGCTAGGCTTGTTCGTAACTGTATTGCCTCGGTGTTAAATGACTTGTTAATTTGTCGTTCAAGTTTGTTCTCTTGTTATGAAGAGTTATTGAGGATAAGTACTTGAACGAGCAGGTTATTCAAATCACTTAACCGAACAATCACTTGCCTAATAGTCGCAATTCGAACCAAAACGGATATCCCCGACTCCCTAGCTTCTTAAATCTTGCTTGTTCTACGTTATTAATTTGCTATTTTAATTTGCTTTATTTAAATTTTAGTAGTTGATAATTAAAAACCAAAACCAATCTTTGATTTAGAATGTTTAGGATTTTTATTTCTTTTATTTGTGCTTGAATAAACGTGCAGAGTATTCCAGCTAACCTTCCTCGTGAGACATGACCCGGTGTTCGAATATTTCGATTCTACTCTGGTAAAAATATTTACAACAACCTCAGAGCCTCTCCAACCGAATGGTAAACCCTAAAATTTTGGGTCCAATCGTGACCAAAACGCAAACCCAAATTGTGTTTGCCCAATTTTTGCGTTTGTTTTGCGTAAACACAAAAGTTTTAGTATTTATATAAAATTTCCCAAGTTTTTGTGAAAAGAAAAGTACAATTTTGCGTTTTGTTTTGTGTAAATGCAAAATTTTTGGTATTCACATATACGAGATTTCATTGATACTGTAGGTTTAAAAAACAATTGATGTATGTATACTGTTATATGTATTTTTTGTCAATCTAGATTAGCCCAAAGTCACATCGACAACTCCTTAATAATATCGGTGCTTGCAAATACCAGATAAACTAGCACAACAAGTCTAAAGACCATCGCCAATCTCAAACTTAAAAGTATTATGCGTATCAATCTCACTTCAGATCTATCTTATTCCAAGTTGGGCATCTTTCATACTGATATCATTACTCCACATGTGATCCCCACACTTCCACATCGGTACCGACCACAACATACATCTTCCTTCGTCCCAACCTCAACACTCCAAGTGAAAAAGGTTCACCGCCCAGGACCGGTACGCATTGCCCAGTATATAATGGGCCCACCGATCATCAAACCATTTTTAAAGATAGGTGTTCAACTACATGTTGTCTTGCATGAAGCAGACGGCCTAGACACACGCTACGTGTTCCATGACTCATCAAAAAGTCATTATGAATTTTCGTGTATAAATAGCATATAGCTGGTACATCAAAGGGGGACATGAACAAAAAATGGTAGAAAAACCCTAAGAAAAACAAGGGGAAAGAATACAAAGAAAAATTCCATCAAAGGTAAATAAACAGTTCTTTATCATAAAGTAAAATAAAATCGCAAGCATATTAAGATTAACACAAATACACAATTTGTTGACAATCTATTTATCTACTTGCACTTTATCTCTTTAGTTTCACAATTATCGCTCCGTATCTTGTTGGTGAAAGCGACCATCAACAAAATAGCGCTATAAGGAGGGCAAACCTCCGTTCATTCATCGTTCCCAATACTTTGTTCATGTATTAGCTCCTAGTCCCACAAATTTCATACTCGTCGTCTTTCCCTTAAATCTAGGTGTTATATCTGTCACGAATACTATGTATAATACTACGATTATTAAAGTCACAACAATCAACCATCCTTTGGTTGCCCGATTAGCTCAATTATAGCAAGAATATGAATCGATTAGATCACCCTCAACAAGAATATTACAAGGGAGGAAAAATCAATCCTTTAATAACGAAGGCCATATCATGGCCATATGACCTAGAGGTGGTCTCGGTGAGGTGTTCATTTTCGAACCTCTTCACCATTCCCTCTACATGATCGAATTTCGACCAACCAAGTGATCAACCTGCCGATCCAAGCGATAATGATCCTAGTCTAGCCCAAACCGCGGTCGACAACCTGGAGATCAACCGAACAACCTGCACCAGGAAGAAAACGGGGCCCAGATGGGAAGAAGGGCCCAGAGCAGCCACGAATCTGAAACTAGGCGGATCGCTTTAATCATCAAGAGTCTCTTTCGCTACTCCCCGCCAAAATCCTAAGGTAATAAACCATTCTAGTAGACCAACAATAACATATCAAACTCATGCCGTAAAGCCAGAAGGCAACAAAAAGAAGCAGATTGGCACCCAATCTGATGGAAAATTATTCAACTGGTCCATTCGAGGATACATCCAAAGACACTCTTATGTCAAATACAATAAACTAGGGTCGATTCGAAGTTCTTTCGATAGAAAGGTCATTATCAAGTTTCTTGAGATTTCGATGTAATTTTATTTCAGCAATCATTTTTATTGATCTGAATGAATATATGTCGAAATAAGGCGTCAATCACTATAAATATTTGTACAATTATATTGTCTAAATGTAAGTTGTATGGTAACTATTCAAACACATGTGCAACTATTTGACTATCTCAAAGATAAGCTCAAAACTACCTCGCGGAGAACCGACGTATGTTCCAATATGCGAGAACGATCAACCTTTGTGGAGAAAGGACGTAAGTTCCAATTCACAAAGAAAATTCAAAATACAACCGCTGGGAAGGGACGTTAGTTCCAAAGAAGAAGCTATAGATCAAAGCCGAGATGCCCTTGTAAGGGTAAAAGAACTTTTTACACCTGACACTTGATATCATTTCGGTTGAGGATATAACCACCCATTCTTTTGACCTATTAGACAATATGGGGTTGGAAGCTCTTGAATTAAGGTTGTTCACCTCACGATGACCGATGCTTTCTATGAGGGATTATTCACATCCGACAAGCCCTCGTTCTTATGGACTTATGAGCCTAAGTAATGGTTCTCCCCAAGATCAGCACAATCGCATTACAAGCTCAACATTATAATAAAGTTGGGAATGAAGCATTCTTTAGTGCCAATCTTGATTTATTAGATAAGAACATACGGCCAAATTAAAGGACGCTGCCTACAATCAAATACGTGAAGGGTACTCTTATTCTAAAGTCAAATTTGAAACCTTTTGCAAAGACAATTTCGATTGTGAGCAAACCGAGCCGATCCACCGCATCACAATAAAAAAAAAATATTATCAATGAAGCAGTTATTACCAATTTCCAAGGGCACGTCTTTATATAGGCTTCTAATCACCTTCCTTTTAATGACTTTACAATGGAATAGCTTATGCCCGAGCTGTAATGTCGATCAAACTTCGGTCCACTTTCCTGTCTAAGAAAAATTGCTTCGGCACATACTGACGGACAAATCTTTCAGAGAAAACGACATCAATCTAATCTGTAGAGAAAAGATGTACGTCCAATTCACAGAGAAATGACCAGTCCAATCTGCAAGCATCAAATGAACAAAGCCAAACGACCAAACAAAATCATAACGCCTTTTTAGCGAATCTCAAAGAAGAACGACCAAACAAAATCAAAATGGCTTTAGCCAAACGGCTAAAATAAATAAAAAAAGGCTTCAGCCAATCCCAAACTCAACCTACCAAACAAAATCAAAACGGCTTTAGCTAGTCTCAAAGACAAACAACCTAACAATATAGGAACGGCATTAGCCAATCTCAAAGTCGAAAGGCCAAACAACTCAAAATGGCTTTAGTCAATTCAAAGCAGAACGGCCCGACAAAATATATGATAAGCTAATCTCATCTATAGTACGTTCATTATTCATCATACATATTCACCATAAACTCACACATTCATCATATGCTCCATTATGTATACATTCTTGCATTTCATCTATACAAGGCGGCACAACGAAAATATGTGAAAATCCATTCTCATGTTTCAAAGAAGTTCCAACGGCATTGCAATAAAATACACAAAAAGCCAACATTGCACTTCAAGGCAAATTCTACTAGATACATTTTTCTATGCTTTTGGGTTGTAAGGTGAATTATTATGTGATTTAATGTCGCTTTAGGACTCCTACAGACTTTTGTTGGACCTACCAAGCGCTTACTATTGTTTTAACGACAAGACTTTTGACAGTATTTAAATTTTAATTTAGGTTGTTGCTGACCTAGACCCACTTATACGTACGTTTAATGAACACCGAGTTTCCGCAAGAATATTGATTAAATTTGGGTCAGCTGTGTGTGCACAACTGAAAACCAACTAGTATATATATTCAGTAACAAAGTAAATCCTATAAATTTGAGAGTATTTACAAAATATTACCAAGATGTTCCTACAACATTATGCATAATTGTTATCTTTGCGTCAGGAGTATAATAAATTCAATAAGACTATAAAACAAATTGCGTTGGGAGTATAATAAATGGAAGAAGACTAAAAAGGCTCGGCTGTAAGTGGTGATTTATTATTTTTTCACTCAGTTCATAATTGTAAATGTGCATTATTATTTTTTTAGATGAGACGTTGGGCTATAGCCTAAGTAGTTACGAGGACAAGACTACTTCCGACATATTGAGGAATGTAGGAACATTCTTTTTAAGTTATATGCTTTTGTTGTAGATTTTAATGCTCTTTGTCAACCACGTTTCTTTAAGATTAATAATATCCTTATATCTTTGTTGTAGCACATTGATCCATTTCTTGAGGTCATTGCTCGAAGGTTTCATGATGAAGTGAAATCAAAGACAGGAGTTTCTTGTGCAACGCCAATCATTCAGGAACAACACTGTTTGAAAGTATTGTTATCTCCGATGTAGAATTATGAAGTTACTTGCAATTAACAATGTTTTACACGAAAATTTTGTTCATTTATCTCCTTTGTAGCTGCTATAAATAAGACGCCTTTATACTTACCCATCAAATGGATATCGTAGTTACAATCACAGGTCGACAATAATTCATGAAGCCTACATACAGTGGTGAAAAATGATGCTTGTGTTGGAGTATACGCCCTCTCGAAAGAACCGCTCACTAACTAGCCGGACTAGTGGGGTCGTATCTACATGAAAGGAAATGAATGCATACTTGAACACGTCATCTTCATCAGTCTCAATATATGTTAATATTCCAAGATTTTCCTACATACGTTTCAGGTTCAATGTGTTTGGACCATGTTAGTGGGACCTACCCCGCTCTACTTGTGACCTTGTTTACTATTATGATTGAATCATCCATCATGTGTGATATACTTTAAATTGGGGCTCGTATGTTTTACTGATGAAGATACAAGTTAGTTTAATATTGATATATTTGATGCACAAGTATGATTTTACACTCACTACAAAGAAAAAATATCCTTTTTAACACACGTGTTTGGACTATATGTAATTCACTTGGCCAGAAAGAAGAAGGTCAACTGCAAGAAAAATTGAAGAGATAAAATATGCGCTCACGCGCTCGAACACACACACATATATATATATATAGAGAGAGAGAGAGTAACTACCACATTAATCACGGAATAATAGACCAATCTTGGATGTAAATATCTGCTAATTAACTGTACATGCGGTTATGCATGCCTAGATAGTTACCATAAAACAACTATCAATACATATGGACGTTAATTCTACCTCTCTGAGTAACCAAAGAAAAGTTAGATGAAAACCTTATGCAAATAAAAAAACTCTGCCTTGTTTTCTTCAAGTCTGCTTTAGATGGAATATTCTGTTAACTAAGTGGATGCCTTTCCCCTGAGAAGACTAGTTTGGTCATGACCCGATGAGGGGAGCGTGTTGTAGCATGATTTGTAGTTGAAAAGGTTCTTCACGATGGATTGTCGTCCCTTGGGCAACACCTTTTTCGAACTCTTCTTTTTGTCACTCGTGATCTTCACTTTATTACTTTCAGCAAACTCCTGCTTGTAGCATAATGTTGAAAATATGTGTAATTATCGGTCGATGGTTACACTATTTGTTTTAGTGCAATTTTGAGACACACGATCAACATGCATAATATGTGCCCATACATCAATATTGGGTTAAAAAGTTAATTAATTATAACAAGTTGTTAGTACATGTGACTAATGTAAATTAATTTTTCATATTTAGATAATTACCTAACTCTTATACTTGCATTTTGCATGTAACCTTAGGCAAACGAATATCGTTATTTTTTTTTTTCTAAATTTTGCAAGCATCATAAAAATTTTAATTACCTTTGGTGTTTCTGCTCCATTGCCCAAAACTTCATTCTTCAATGCTTCATTTTCATGACCTGATTGTTGCAACATATACTCTAATAGCTCCATATTTTGTTTCCAAGATATATAATTGAAGGCATAAATCATAATTTAAATATTAATAATCACCAATAATAGCTATCATATTGATAGTACCATGTTTGTGATCTTCTCCATTATCCTTGAAATACACTCGAAAACTCGGGGATCCCGGGAAAGCCCTTTCTTCACCACGCTTGATCCTTCTCCCGTCATCATCCGCACAATCACCATTTTCATTCAATCCTCCGATTTTCTCTTCTTGATAACCTTTTCTGAGGGACAAACGCATAGGTTTTTTATCGGGGGCATTTTTGTCATGGTGAGGATGCATGAGCGGCTCTGGCTTGGCCTGGCGGAGCTTTGGTGACAACGCCATTCCATCGTCTTCCAAACGTGAAACGGCGCAACCCATTTGATCAGTTGCTAGGAGAAAAAAATGACAACCGANAGTTTATCTGCATGTAGACATCCATATATAGATTATTGACTCATCAAACTCTCCATCAAAATAGATAAATATTAACTAAATAAATAAAATATAAATCATGAATAAACTAATAAATTAGTTGCCAATGATGATATACGTCAACGAATAAAAATCACCAAATTTCGTGTGTGGCCCTACATTCATGTTGAGAAAATTACTCTTGCGTGCCACATTTTTCATTTCAGCTAAGTTCAGACATAATAATCTATATACAATAGTAGATTGTAATCAGATTTCTTTTCCACGGTTGCCCAAATTTTTGTTATGGAAGTTCACTAAAAATGGCAAGATAATTTCTAGACCAGTGTTTACTATACCTAGATTTTTGTTCTACCTCAGTGATTTTCTCTTTCAAAATAGCTATCTATAGATATATTGACAAATCATTAAATAAAACCTAGTAAATTTTAGCTATGTGGTATTTTTCCTCCAATAATCTTTACAGTCTAATATTATTATTATTATTACATTATTATATCATATCCCATTTATGATAAAATATGTCCTTGCACTTTTTTTGGGTTAATTAAGATAAAAAGTATTACATTTTATACTAATTGAGTAATAATTATATTTTTTATGTATAATATAATAGTTGTCATTAAAATTAATAATTATATTTTACACTAAATGATATATGAAAGTTACATAAACATAAAAAAAAAATATATTGGAACAACTTTTTGTTCAAGTTATTTATTCCAAAATCAAAATTATATTTTTTAATCTATTAAGCGATTTATTTTTTAAATAAATTAATTTATTCATAATAAAATTCTTTAAATTTACATAAGCAATTGTTATAATAAATTTAATAGTTTTCAGCTAATTAATTGATCACAATCTCTCAAAATTACAAATATTACATTTTATGTAATCAATATAGTAATTTATATGCAGTCAAATCGTTATATACTATTTATTTTAACTAATGATCAAATTTTAAAACATAATTCTATTATCTAACTTATAATTTTAATATTATATGCATAAATATAAGTTATAATACTCTATTTTTAAAATATAATAAAATTATCTAACTTATAATTTTAATATTATATGCATACAAAAAACTTATAATCTTCTCTACCAACTGAGCTATACAGCCCCTCCGGAGGTGACGTGGCCAATGAAAGAAGAATAAAGCGTTATAGATCGTCCGGGTGTTGTAAAATTAAAAGTAAATATTGCATTAGTTACTTAATACTAAAGTTGGGGAAAAAAAATAATAAAAACCTTCATACTAAAAGCCAACATTAATGTAAAAAATATTTTAAAAAGATAAGGAATGTCATTAATTCACGACGTATTCCTTGCTGGATGCTAGACCTAATTCGCACGTGATGCTTTCAACAGTTGGCGCAAAACTGTGCTTCTCAAACAATGTCATATGGGTAAAATGCAAAATTAAAGTAAGGTTTCCTTAAAAATGAAACAAGAAGGTCCCACCGGGAGTCGAACCCAGGTCGCTGGATTCAAAGTCCAGAGTGCTAACCACTACACCATGGAACCAAGTGTGAGGAAATGTTTTATTGTTCATACTTAACTAAAATAATTTAAATTGCCTGTCTTACGGAACTTTCATATAGTATATTTTTATTTTAATTTAACTGATATTTTCACGTTCGCACTAATGCACATAATATTATATAAAATTATTTTATTCATTAGTAACCACTATGTGGTCCGTGCGATGCAAGAGGAACAATATACAATTGTATAATAAATTAAATATATAAATAACGTTAATCATAATTTTCAAAATCGAACAAAACTGAACTATCCGACCGGATGGACCGGGGACCGGTTTATCGATCAGTCTAGTTCGCTTGAATAAAATTTTTGCTAGAGAATCGGTCAACACCAGTAAATCGGACTGGTAGTATCGGTACGATTTTTTTTTAAAAAAAATTACATATTAAAACTATTTTTAATATAACTAAGATACATATTTAAATAAAACAGATATTTATAAATTATTTATCGTTTAGCATCAACATTGAAAAAGTTTAAATTGTTTATATATTTAGTTAATATTTTTTAATAAACTTATTATGAAAATTACTATATATATAAATATATTAATAAATTAAATTATGATGCAACCAATAAATCATTGAATGAATAATTTGATCGGTTTGAAACGGTCCTCTCCTGAGAACTTTGGATTTACCGTACATTAATAAAGGTGTAATGCAATATCATTTTGTTCACATAAATATTGATAAAATAATATATAAAAACATGTTATCATAAAAACATTCTTAATATGATTATTTAGAGTATGAACTACATTATATTTATTGTAATAAAGTATTTTTAATATTAAAAAATATATTTAGTTCAATAATCCAATTGTTATGGTCAAACCGACCCATAACATGGTTACTCGGGATCAACCTCAGTTATGTCATTGACCCATAACTCGGTCTCCCGGGATCAACCTCAATTGTGTCATATTTTTTGACTATTTTAAATATCAACTAATACTTTCGTTTGAAATAGTCATTAAAATGCAGGCTATATCATCACACAACAGTGTTAGACAAATTGCACACTAATGATCATCAGATTGAACAACATCGAGTCAAAACTATTTGTAGTGCCCATTTTTGTTTTATATGACTTTCCGTGATTTATTTATTTATTTATTTATTTGCTTTTATATTATTATTGCCTTTATTTTATGATATTTATCTGCTTGCTCGATAATTATTATAAATTGCTCGTTTATGCCCTGTATGATTTATTTGTATTATTATTGTGTTGCTATATGGATGATTTTATTTTTATTGTTATGTGATTAATTCTATTTTTATTATTATCGTGTGTATTTGTGAATTAGAATTATCTTAGTTAGTTGGTTCTTTCGGCTTACGCGTAGAATTTATCTTCGATCCGTTACTACCCATTTTGGTGCTTTATATCCGAAATTTGGAGGGTTAATCATTTTCGGTCCATTTGAGTATTAATTCGGCCCATCCTCCTGTGCCTCTGATAGTATTGCCAACCAAAAAGGAATTATTCTGGCCCATTTTATTTTGAGTTAACAACTTTGGCCTATTTCTTTTTTCTTTTTATTCGCGTTCAAAATATCTGAACTGGAGGAGATAAATTTTATCTGTTCACCGGATCCCGCCGAGATCTCTCCCAGCATCGCGCCTCTCATCATCTTCATAAGACTCGGCCAGGAGTTCAATCTGGATCAAAATCGATCAAACCAAAACTCTGTTCTTCGTCTTCGCAGTTTTTTAAAAAGAATAAAAATAAATAAATAAATAAATAAATTATCGCCGCCTGCAAAATTTCCTTTTTCCGACGAGCTCTTCTTCTCCGAGCATCTTGTCGCGGGCATATTGTCCGAACAACATTATTTTTCGGCGTCGTGTTCAGTAAGCAGTCGGCGTCCTCTCCGCCCTCAGCCGTCCATCGTCGGAGTTTACAACAGCAGCCACCACCATTATTTTCGGCGACCTGCAACTCCATCGGTCGTGCCCAATATTCTTAATATTATTTATATAATTAAATATTATAAACCAATCATTCTTACCTATCACATCAACTTTAATTCACTATTCATCCACTCACATAATTTAAATACCTATCATTTCCAATCACTTATCTCCTATTTTTACATCAAATCAATAATAATAATTTTGTTTTAAATATTATTTTAATACATTATTAAAATCCCACTAACAACAAACCAAACAACAACAACAACAACATAGCCTTTTATTCCCAAGCAAGTTGGGGTAGACTAGAGATGAAACCCAAGAGAACCAATGGTAAGAGAAACACAAAAAAGGCTCAAAACAAAAGGAAAAGATTGGAGCAAAAGTCACGGTTCTAGCACGTTGATTGCTAACCTCCAAACGCTCCTATCCACCGCTAAATCCTCCTCCAAACTCAAAACAAAAGGAAAAGATTGGAGCAAAAGTCACGGTTCTAGCACGTTGATTGCTAACCTCCAAACGCTCCTATCCACCGCTAAATCCTCCTCCAAACGCTCCTACCCACCGCTAAATCCTTAGAGATATTCCAATTTTTAAGGTCTCTCTTAACCGACTCTTCCCAAGTGAGTTTAGGCCAACATCTACCTCTCTTTACATCATCGACCCACTAACAACTAACCATACCACATTTTTCAAATTTGACTCTAATTACTCAAAATAACTCATTTTGAGCAAATTATTTCATAAACAAACATGCTCTTATTTTATTAGGTTGCCATCAGATACATTGTATTTCTCTATATACAGGGCTCACGTGAATGACTAAAGATACTACTTTACAACTTCGCCTCTTCTATCTTGTTCTCTACTTTCTCTCTCTCTCTCTCCATCTTAGTGTGCAATAGTATGACACAACAAATATTACAACACAAACAAATAAAAACAGCCCATCTTCTCTGCGTTTTGAATCCAACATTTGACACTTCCACAAAAGCAAAATTTACCATATGGTTAGCAAAATCACAGAGAACTCATCAGTCAGAAAATGGCCCTCATATCAGACAACGGCGCTCGTATAAAGCTTTCTTCTACTACTTTGCCTAGATACGAACATCATCTTCCCGACCAACAATAATAACAATTTTCAAAACCAAATTTTATCATACTTGCAGTGCTTCTTAACTTGGCAGCCTCTTTCCACCAGCAGTATAATAAGCAACGAGTACAAATGCCACTAACGACTTAATTAATTTTGTGGAGCCCAATGTTGAGGTCGGACGAGATGGAGATGAGGAGAGGGAGTGCATAGTGCCAGGCAGCTTTAAAAACCCGTTTCTGATGAGATTTTATTGACTGGGATGGTACTTGTGCATTATACCTTATGTCAAAGATGTGAATAACAGGGTCAACCGAGCCTGATGAGATGTAAAGTCCATCTGGAGACCATGCCTGATTTATAAGGGCCGATTGTGATTCACTGCTCTCTTGCTTGAACCCGAATGAGTGAATCTCCGTTTGCCTCAGTCTAAGGTCAAACAGCCGGATTTGTCGCTGTGGGGTCCTGCTCAAAGATAAGTACAAGTCGTGATAATGTATTTGTTTTTGCATATGTGAATAAGAGCTTTGCATTTGTTTTGCATGTGTGGTTGTTCTTTTTTATTGAAAACTAAAATGAAAGCATTTGTTCAATCTCACATTTCAAATTTTATTGGCTTAAGGTCATAAGAGCCAGGATCTTAGCTCAACCACCTAAAAAATGTGAAATGGTGTTTGCATTGAATATTATGTTTACGTAAAAATATATATGTTTCTAGGATAGAAATTCTCAACCAAGCACACGTCTTCATAATGAATGTTTAACACGTTTATCGGACAAGTAATAAAACTTTCACTCTTACCGGAAATTCAATCCATCAAATTCATAATGAAACTCTCACTGGAAACAGGTATTTAATAAACACATGCAAAGAGAAAAGAACCCTTAATTCTATTCAATTAATCCTCACATAATGAAGTTGAGTAAATCCAACTGATTAAAAGATAGGGTGGATTGATTGGTGCCACCGACAAATATTGCTTAAAGGACAGCCTCACAAAATATATATAAAAACTCAACCTTTCATTTAAAATATAAGAAAATACAGACCATGAGGAAGGTGTCATTGCATTAGGACCCAAATAAAAGTGATGAATTAGTTCCACTGTTCAGTTCATGGAATACAAACTTTTCTGGTCATGCAATAGCAAGTATTCAATGAACATAATAAGTCTGCTTAAAAGTATCTTTGCAGCAACTTCCACTCAGCAATATCAACATAATTTTAACTCAACATAAAGAAAAAAAAAAGACTGTCGTAGCTAGTTTCAACATTAATAATGAATACTAAAAGCGAAAGAAACCATTCCCATCCAAAACCACAAAATATGGAAAAACAGAAACCAAATATCTAAATCATATAACAAAAAAAAAAGCCTAGTAATATATAATAAATGAAATTTGTGCAAAACACGTACCCTGTTTGGACCATGAAAAGGTTGAAATCACATGGGTTGGGCACAACACTCATGCACTTGCTGTCAATCTGGTGCTTGTAATCTGCCCTTCCACTCATCACATCGAACCCAATAACTCTTTTATCGGCACCCGCTGACATCACAATATTCTTGTGCTGCATTCCGGCAATTCCCATCACAGCCGACGAGTGGTGATTTCTGTGCAGCGATTTGGGCTTCCAAAAGTCTTCTTCTCCATCTTTCTCAGTCCACAGCACCACGGCATGATCACTTCCACCCGTGACGAACGATTTATCATCCCATGACAAGAATGTGATGCTGTTTATAATGCCCTTGACATGGGGCTTGTCTTCTAGAAAGCTCACACGAGTTTTCTGCAGTGTACATAGAAGTTGATGTAGGAGTGTATACAAAAATATCCGCTCAAAATGAGTTTTTTTTTTTGTTAACCAGAGTTAATTTAAAAAAAAAAAAAAGTGGTATGGTTAGTTGTTAGTGAGATTTTGATTTTATATTAAAATAATATTTAAAATAAAATAATTAAAGTTGATTTGATGTAAAAGTAAGAGAGAGATGATATGAAGTGATAGTTAAAATTATGTGAGTGGATGAATAGTAAATTAAAGTTAATGTGACGTGTAAGATTGATTGGTTGATATTACTTAATTATGTTGACAATATTGAGGATAGTGGGGTTGAGTTAAATTTTGAGTAGGAAACTATGAATTGAGCAAGGATTGAAATATTTCATATACAAACACGCCCATAGTCTTGAAAGATCGAGCAGAATAAACAGTCATTGGAAATAAAGGCAGTTGTAGCGTCTGAGTTCAATTGGTATTTATATATACATTCTATCACTAATGCAAACTATACTGGCTTTAACTTACACTAAAGAAAGGTGAATTCACAATGTTCGGACAGCTAAATTAATTTACAATAAGTTCCATTCTACGTGTAAATAAACTTAAATCTACTTGTTGTTACATGCTTGGAGTTTGATTTGAGAAAGACCATGTACTTCATTTCTATTAGGGACAACTCATGTAAATAGTTAGGCGAACTCTGGTGGTAACCACTTAGGTTCAGTTTGATTCCTGATTAAATTGATGGACCTTTTGTCATTCATTTTTCCCAGCTGTCTAATTCCGCTTATTAATTGTCTCTTGAACACACAGCAAGAATAGAAAGATAATTAGGCAATTAGCATAACATTGTATTAAGATGGTTACCTCTCTGCCCTTGTTTAGATTCAATATTGATATCTGAGAATCCCCACCATCCGCGCTATAAACCGAGAAAACTTTGTTTCCATGAGGATGCCAAGCAATATCTTCTGGCCATCTCCTCTGCTTGTCAGATTGACAATCAGTACTACTTAGAAGATTGGCACAAGAACTGCACTTTATGTAATAAAAAAAGACATCCAAAGTGAAAAACTTATATTACTAGGTGAATGAAATGAGTAGACTGTAGTGCTTAAAAGATATTTATAAATCTAATATAAATACTGAGTGAAAAGTATAATGCAAGTGAGTTTCTAACACTAGTTACCCTCGTCCCTGAAGTTGCCATAGGTTGACCATTCCATCCAACGCACTGCAAGATCAGTTATAAATGTGAAAAAATAATTTCTAAAATTAAGTTGACGTGAAGTAAAGTATATTTTGTACGCAATCCAACAAGCTTTCACAAAGCAAGACAAGTTCTAAACAATTGGATCCAAAGTGCACCTAAGAGGTGCTTATTTCTAAGCCATAAAAATTGAAGTACATGATCCGTAAGTTCCATGTTAATCTAAAACCAATTTTAATTGCTATGATACGCACCAAATTCAGGCAAAAGAGCAAACACAATAGTATTAGAACTTTCGGACGCAAGTACACTCTAAAAGCAGACATTAGTTAAACAAATTGAATATTATTTTCTTCACCTGAAAAAAAAAAGTACTTTTTCATTTTTTTAATTCAATAGTACATGATGCAGTGATTTCAGCATAGATCTCTGAAAAAACTAAAACTAAAACCAAAACAACACTTAAGTCCAGTTGAACTGCCCAACAGGACGATCCACGTTATTTAATAAATCAAAATGAACTTACTTCACAAAAATAATTCAACTCACAGTACTTGTTCTAAACTTGTGCTAGTGAATAGCTATATGACCCTTACTAATGTGAACACATCATTAGTTGAGGAGTAAGAAGATATGCATGGATAACAAATAATTGGAGGTAAAATACTTTGATTCAATTTCCAAACGAGTCACAAATAAGATAAGATCTTGATATATTCCTATCATATATATAATCATATGCTGTAGTCACAGTGGCGAGCTGGTAACTTGCAATAGTAAAATAAGTCAAAATTACCTTGATATTGCACAAGTAAATTCATATTCAAGACTTCTAATTAATTCTCACAAAAAACACAGAAGAACAATTTACCTGGTCACGAATAACTGATCATTTGTTGGACATAAAGCAAGACTCCGAAGCTTTCTTTTGTGTTGACTGGATAACAGAGGGCCACCATGACAGCGAATTGTGACTGGTGAAGACTTTTTTGCAACCAATGGAATCAAATCTACATGTTCTTTCTCATCTGTAATTAAAAAGTTACATTGATCGTTAAAATATTAATGATCCAACAATAAATATCACGCAATATATCCAGATGCCATCCACACCAGTTACTAGTACCAATTTGATACCAATAGCATTAAATCCCGAAATCAGAAAATCTCAAAATATAATAAAGTATCAGGCAAATAGACAAACCAATTTTCCTTTTTGTCCCTTTAGGTTGAATTTCCACATTTTCCTGCTCCGGTGATGTTTTACGAGTTTTTTCACCCTTCAACTTTGTGAGACTATTTGCAGTAGTAAGTGCTGATGAAGTTGATGGTAGACCACACAGTTTATTTCCAGGTTCATTTGCCTTAACTGTGGGAATCACTAGTGGTGGCTTAGGCTGGATTTGTTTTTTGGAATAATTTCCATGGTCCGGATTATCTACAGAAGGCTTCTTCATAGCATCGTGAAGATGAGGCAGAGACTGTTTCTGAGAAGGGCTTTGGGATTTTCTTTCAAATTTAACCTCATCCCTACCATTAGATGGATTTTTAGATGATTTTTCTTCACTCCATCCTCGAAGACGAACTAATTTAGTTTGGGTATCCTCTAATCTCTTCTCTGCTTCATCAAGCTGCAGGTTTCCCAAAAAAGGCTCATCATAATAGGGTAAAAGTTTGCAGTGCATGTTGATATTATATAATTAGATGGAACTTTTTCTCTTGCAGTATGTTACAAACAGAACATAAAAACATAGTTTTAAATAGCGAATGGAGAGGTGAGGCCACGGCACACAAGACATGAAAGCATGCAACACATTATAATATAGATAATGCAATTAAATACTTAAAACTAACATATATTTAAGCTTAAAAATAGTTTTATAGCTGTTCACAACATATATGAGATTAGACATTAGAAGATTAAGTATCATATTGATTAGTATCATATTGCTTATAGAAAAAAAGGAATGTTCTTTAAAGTAGGAATAGAGTTGCAAAGTGGCCATATAAACATTATTAAATGCTTACATCAATGAGAACTTAGCACAACATTACAAATTACAGTGTGTACTAATGATATAATTGCAGATTCCTTAGAATCAGCAGCAAAAGAAGGTTCTTTCCAACAATCATACAACTATAGTGAACAAATGAATGCATGCGTCAATAAGAACGTAGTATCCAATTACAAATTACACCATCTGCTACTGAAGCTGCAGATTCTATAAAATCAGGAACCAAAGAACTGAATAGGGTTCTTTCCTATAATTGGATAACTGTGGTACATGTGCAATTATATACTTAGTTTGTTTTAATGTATGATTTAACCATACAACAAGCCCTAACTTTACCTTAAACTCTTACCTGCATTAAATGCACAACATCCGATGCCCGGGAAAAGAAACCTAAATGAGTATTCTATTTCATACATGTGAACAGGCGGGAGAGGAGAACCCGATCCCACCAAATTTCTATCCATGCTATGTACAAAAATGTGGAAAATACACATGAAAAAAAAAAAAGAGGAATTATATTTATATATATATATAGTGACCTCATGTGATCTTCTATAAAAAGTTCCCTCTGCACCAAAACACATGCCCATCTAAACAGCATTTTGAAAATATATAAAAAAATAACAAAAATAATTTGTGCGTCTGGGTATTTCTTTAGAAATCCTCGCCCTCCCTACTTTATCATCCTGATTATGCGGTTGCCCACGTCTGTAGCCCACAGCCAACCAAGATTTCGTAAAATGAAAGAATAAAGAAATTAACTTTGGGACCCAGTGAATAGCAGCAGACTTCATCAAACAACATTTTCAGTCAAACAAGAAACTCATAAATGGACGATTTCCTTAAAGCAGACACCGAAGAAGACTGAACCTCAAGCTTGCAAGCAATGATACACAACAGAGAACAACCCATTGAACACATCTTTCACAAAATCATCAGGAGAATGCAAATGGATAAACAAAAGGAACAAATTAAAGAAATCAACAACAAGTTCCAACCAAAAAAAATAAAATAGAAACCTGGGATTTATAATAATTAATACGCTGGCGTAGGTGCTCGACTTCTTTTGTCCGATGCTCTATTAAGGCCACGAGTGCTTCTTCCTGCTCATTCCTAATCTGCTCCCCCAGTTTTTCTTCATTAGATTCCTCTTCCGGAAAGCCATCATCTTCCTGTTCTTCCTTTTCCGGGTCCTCTTCCTCTGGTTCGATCTTAGGCTTCTTCAAAAGTGGACGATAACCGCTCATATTATTTGATTCAAATGTGATTGACGGCGATTCTTCCTTTTCTGCTCCGATGATTCCAGATTCTCCTATGGTGGGAACGATAAATTTTGTGGAGAAGAAATGATTTTCGTTTCCAAGAATGTGCATCAGTTACACTTATAAGTAGGGTTTAGAAAATGATGAGACGAGCTCCTTATTACCACTATATTTAATATTTATCATACATGATTATTGATAAATCTAATAATTTCGCTATTTTAATATTGATTTATGTGTTTTGTAGATAAATTATCAAAAATAGGTGTCATAAGTTATGTTTTTTTTTTTTCGGNAAAAAAAAAGTAAAAAATAAAACGGATATAACCCTTCCTTTTTTTTGATCGATAGTGATATAGGATAGTATATTAGACCGATTTAAATCACTTTTCTAAAAATCGGCTTACGCGGCCGCCTAGGCGGTAGGCGGTGCCCGGACACTTCCGATTTGTAAAAATCGACAGAAAAAATCGGTCATGCGGCTAGGCGGCCCTAGGCGCTCCTAGGCGGGCTCGACGGCAATTTTTTAGTTTTTTTTTTAAATACTAATTACATTGTTTTGTTCTCATGTTTTTTTTTAATATATATTAATATTATTATTTGGACTTTGGTGTGTGAATTTATTATAAGTGGAGATAGTTTTATTTTATAGGTAGTTAAAATACATAAAATATAAAGTATTGAATATTGATTTCTGGGCCCCGATTAGGCGCCGCCTAGACCCCGACTAGGCGCTCTAGGCGACCAGCACCTAGCGGGCGCCTAGCGACTTTTAGAACACTGGTTTAAATAGATAAAAGGGAATATATTGGAGAATAAGCCTACACATGAGCTAGGAAACATGGCATAATGACATTGGACAAGCTCAACTTGGGCCATAAGGTACACTCCCCCTGTAAAAGGGGCTAAGCTATCTCATTCTCTCACTCTCTCTACATCATAGTTGTCAAAACCGGACCGGTCATCGAACCGGTGAAGCTACCGGTTCAATGGTTTAATGGTCGGACCAGTGGTCAAACCGGTCGAACCGGTTTTATTAATATATAATTTTTTATTTATTTTATATGTATAATATATAACTGTATATAATTTTATCATTAATTTTATATTGTATAGTGACATTTTTCTAAATAAGAGTCCACTAATAGATATAACCGACAATGTTGCTAACGTTGACAAATTCTTTTTATTTTATTATTTATATTGTAATATATATTTAAGTTACATAATAGATAATAAATTTGCATTTTAATTTTTAAATTAGATTTTAAGTTTTTTATTATTTTAGTTTTGGGCTTTTTTGGTTTTGATAATTTTGGACTCCAAAGTTCAATCTTCAAAATTAATTTGATTTTTTTTTATGAAATTAAAGTAATTTATAAAATTAAGCCTCATATTGCAAAATTTATTTAACTATCTAAATTGGGCCCTTGAGTACAAATCATTCACATTTTGTAGAATTATAAATTAGTAAAAAATAATAATATAAGCCCAAGTCCAAAATCAACTTATAAGCCCAAGTCCAAAACAAGAAGCAAGGAAAAAGATGATGTACTATGATACTATCCCACATGGAAAGCACAAGGAAAAAAAGAAAACTTTAGCTTTCCTTTGCAAAGCTTAACACTGAACCGGTTAGCCCGCAAAACCGACACCGGTTTACCGGTTGGACCGGTTTTTGACCGGCTTGGACGGTTTGACCGATTTTGGTCACAAGCGGTTTACTATCTCAAACCGGATCGGTATGAGGGCCGGTTCTCGGTTGAACGGGTCGAACCGGCCGGTCCGATCTTATTTTGACAACTATGCTCTACATTCATAATGATACTCTTGGGATTTGGAGCAATACTGACTTGAGCGTCGGAGGCCCGACTCCGGGACCCATCCCGGCGTTGGGTTCTTGCAGGTTCGGTGGCCCTTCGAGTTGAAGGAGCCCAGGTGATATCCATTTCACTTCATTGGCGCCGTCTGTGGGACACGTTAGAAAAGCCAAACGGAGTTCCAATCGAAAAATTCTAAAAATTTTCCAGCAATCTCCTTCATCTCCACAGGTCGCCACCACCGCCGCCGCCGACCGCCGAAAAATGTGCTCTGATCGTAAAATCGTTGGTGTCATCGGGTAGATCTCCTCGAGGTGAATCTCCCCTAAAAATTTCATGCGAAAATTACAACGGGAAGACCGTCAATTTTACGGTCAAAGTTTTCAGATCTAACAAAAAATTGGTCAAAATCGGACATTCAAATGCGTTTTCCCGACGATCCCGGAGACTTATGAAAAATTCAAGGGTACCACTGGAATCCTCTCGTCGAGGCGAATCTCCAGTACCTTACCTTTGTCGGCTGCTGCCGCCTGCCACCGCCGCTCGCCGGCCAAAGTCTTCCGATCTGAAAAATCTCCACATCATCGCGAAGCTCTTCTCGCGCTTGTTCTCCCCTTAAAATTTCGTGCAAAAATTCCTCTGGGAAGGCCGTCAATTTGTCGGTCAAAATATGTAGATATAAGAAATTGTTGGTCAACCATCGGTCTTCTTCTCCGATTTCCCGTTGATTTTCAGCGAGCCGCTTCAATCCGACGGCACCATCGGGATCCCCTCGCCAAGGCGCACGCACAGACGGTCACCTTCGTCGGAGCTGACGAATTTTATCCAGCGGCATGTCTTCGGCGAAGCCGTGGTCGCTGCTCCCTGTTCAGCTGTGTTGGACCGCGCAGCTTTCAGTCTAGCAAGGAGGCCCGCACCCCGCAGCCCAGCGAAGAGGCCTGAGGTCATCGGTCTAGGAGTCCGCTCGCGATGGCCCGTATTAGAGAGCCCAATGAAAGGCCCAGTGTGGACGGCAGAGAAGCTCATATTCCATCTGCTCCAGCGTGCGGGCCACGTCCAGCCCGCACGGCCCGCTCCCGGCACCAGCCCGCGCTTACCACAGTATCAGCCCGCGAAAGCCCGCTCCCCAGCCCAGCATCCGCCCAGAGTCTAGCCCGCGTGCGGCCCACTTTCCCCCAACCTCTACCAGGCTCAATGTCGTGGCGCATTAGCCCCTAGGAGGCCTGTTGAGCGCCTAAATCACCTCCAGCTTGGCCCAGTGCGCGCAGAACGCCCCCAAGAGGCCCAGACCGCGCCCAAACAGCCCCCAAATCGGTCTAGATGGTCTAAAAGCTGTCCAAACCAGCCTAGCTCGGTCCAACAGCCCCATTTGGTGCCCAAGAATAATTCGGGATGATTCAACGCAAACGGGGAGGTAAATTTGAGATTGTATTTCTCGTGGCAAATGTATGTGGCTTATCTAAATTGGGAGGATTTTTAAATTGGTGAAAATTGGAGAAATTATTTAGAGAGTGGACTAATTTATTCGTGCAAAATTATTTGATTGATCCGTGGAGCTTATTTGATATATTTGTGGAGTATTATTTGATTTATTCGTGGAGAATATTTGATATATTCGGAGAGATTATATGATATATCTGTGGAGATTACTTGATTTATTTGTGGAGTAATATTGGAGTTATTTGTGGAGCACTATTTAATTTGTTCGAGGAAAATTATTCGATTTGTTCGAGATACTATTTAATTAGTTTGAGGAGAATTATTTGATTTGCTCGAGGAGATATTATTTGATTTATTCATGGAGATATTTGATTTGTGTGAGGAGATATTATCTGGTTTATCCGTGAGGGTATTTGGTTTATATGTGGAGAAATTATTTGATTGAAAATAAATGTGGGTCGTGGTTTCGGATTGCAGATATCTTGTGATTGTGTTTGACGCATGTTTGGTGCATTTATCAACTTTATGGGTGAGCTCGAGGAGATGGATTAAAATTATATGATTTGATATATTGATATACTCAGAACCTCTCATTTGGATTGTCATGTGACAGTGTGGGATTTTGTTTGAATTGACTATTCATAATTTTTTAAGCATGTCATTGCTCGAGCATGTCTTAAATCGAGGAGATGGTGATGTTTGTATTTGATCTCTTGTTTTTCTTGCGTGGAGAATTGCAAAATGGATGACGTGAATATAATTTGGATAATGATATCTCTTTGAATTCTTGTCGATGAAACATCAAAATAACCCGAGTATCGACAAGCGATGGTGGACGAGCTGTGGAGTTTCGAGAATAAAATGAGCGAGCATGGATCCATCAAAACAGGGTGATAATGAGGGAAGAGTCTGGATGGTGCCGATCACAGGTGGCAATTTCAAAGGTAGAAATCATTCTCTTTTGGAGAGGTAGGATAATTGGGAGGGGCATGCTCGACTTTCAGGTATAAAATTAATCCCAACTCTTGTCGGCGGTCAAGTTCGACTAACGCGATTTAGTGACACATTGAGTCTCCTAGCATTCTTTTTTGGAGTAATGGTCATTGTTTGAATATTTTGGGCTAAATATTGCTGAGATTGTGGTGTATATAGATATGTTTAAAATTACTATTCAGGTGACTAACAAAATGCAGAAAATGAGGTGCTCGTGGAAGCTTAAACAAAAATCTAGCATGACTAAGGCCTTCGGGCTGGCCAGTCTCGAGTCGTCATGACCAAGGTGCTCGATATTGGGAGTAATTCATTCGAATTTTTGTTTGGTGCATTCGTTTAATGATTGTTTGCAGCTGCAGAGTATGGTTTGTTGTAATTGCATGTCGAATTCATGGTTTTGTGAAATTCTGGTCGACTGTACATTTTAGTGGGTGTTTATGCGATTTCATATCATGGTAAATAGACTTGCATGTAGATTGAGGTGTGGTATAAAAACATGTGGACCAATATGATTGTTTTGATTTATTCATCTCTTGTTAATATCGCTATCGGATTGCAAATTGGATGATGTGGATAAAATACGACTAATGGAATTTGTTGAATTCTTGCTGAGAAAATGAATGAGCAGGTGGACTGGATATTGATTATGGTGAGGAGTGAAAAGCATGGAGCAAACAACAACTCAGGTCGTCGTGTACAGACAGGAAATGGAGGTTGAAAATTATGCTCGATTTTTTTTATCTTGTTCGATATAACTATGCATTTGATGGGACTAACGAAAATGATCAATTACTATTCTGTCTCGTGGTGTTTGGTGTGTTTTCTTTTTGACCTCAGTGGCAGGTCGAAGTGTTCGAGTTGTTCAGGAGTTTAAAATCCACCCCA